CACTGGAAATGTAGAGTATGTTATTTATTTGACTAAGTTGAAAAGAATTCTGTCATATATTTCTGGATATGTCTCAAGGAAATTTGGACAACAGAAAACCAGAAAAGACAGCTACTGTGATAAAAAGTATTGTTTACCAGTTAGATTACTGAGGCCACTGAGACTGTGGCCAAACTGAGGGGCAAGTATTCCCTACTGTGCACCATGAAGCCCTGATTCTTTGGTAATTCACATCAGGAACTGGACTGTGATATGGCTGCTTTCCAGTACACATGTTGCATGTGTAGTTTATCTTGCTATCTCCAAACACAAGCCTTTTCCTCCTTATAGATAATCTTCTAACTTCAAAAACTATAATAAAAGTGTTATAATTAAAAGAAAATCTAACACCTAGAAGTTAACCACCCTGTGGCCAAGTAGAAGACACATAACACAATGACAGAAGGGGCTATTTCCTAGGTGGATAAGAACCAGAGCTCACATATGGTAGATGATTCCACTAGAGACTGGATTTTGACCTGCAGCTGGCCTCCAGGACAACCTTGACACCAGTCTTGGTAACGTCCATTAGCCTTTTTCACGCCACATCTGAGATCTGGGTAACATAGATTCTCTTCCACATGCATACTCCCTCAACCAGCAACAAAATGCAGATGCTTCATGGCAACAACATCTAAACTGTGAGTTGAGCTGTGTGGATCACATAGCTCTGAGCTCCCTGACACAACCTATGAAGAAAAGATCTTGTGCAGCATGCAGTTGCAAGAGTACTTTTAAAAAATTTGTAACAACACCGGGAAGTGTTCCCCACACCAGTGTCACATCAAAGATTCATGATGCCACAACAAGCTTAACTGATCCTGAGAAGTTTTTTATGAGATTCTTATGCAATAAGCCTGGGTTGAACTGCAAACATCACTCGACCAAAATGAATGAGTCTCCAAGAATCTATGCAAGAATAAAAAGGACATGTAAATTCAGGTAAAATGACTGCAATAAGAAGAATAGCATAGGTTTTATTGGGAGTCTTTCACCTGAAGCATTTCACAGACCCCTCTCACACTGTGGAAACTGTACAAGCAGAACACACGAGCACTACACAATACTTCATGACAGGATCAGAAACCAGATTTCTATCTGAAGCTGCTTGGGGAATTTCTGGTGCCTAGCTGAACTGTGGCATGGATGTCAAGCATCACTACTGCCTTCAGTTGAAACCTCTTGGGAGCTGACTCAGTCACAGTCTGCTGGTCCAAATTTTTTAAGTATTGATATAATTTCTTTCAGTTTTGTTCCCCATATATAATAGTTATGAAAGGCCATTACCACTGAATGAGGAAAAAACACTGAAATAATGTCCTCAAAATCCAGGGCACCATATACAAACCTCCCCAAGACAAAAGTGTTTCAAAACCATGACACCAAGGTCTGTGCCTGCACCTGACTGCTGTGAGAAATCCATGATGTGCAGAATTAAAACAAATTAATACATGTTACATGTTCATCTCGGTAGGTAGTGAGAAGAATTCCAGCACAGGAACCTTAATCCCTTCACCATTCTGGTTTCATACCAGGAATATCTACAAAACCATTAGTTTTGGTTACCCACTCAGGTTATGATGACAGCATTAAAATTGTGCTTCCATACATTAAGAACAATAGATTGACTTTGATGCCAAAATTATGTAGTAATTAGGAGCATGGATGAAATTACATTGTGTGATGTTTAGCAGTCATTTAACGTTTAAGACCAGAATAGTCCGACTGCAGTTATTTAGGTACTTCATATGTCTTTCAGTTTTGTTCCCCATATATAATAGTTATGAAAGGCCATTACCACTGAATGAGGAAAAAACAGTGAAATAATGTCCTCAAAATCCAGGGCACCATATACAAACCTCCCCAAGACAAAAGTGTTTCAAAACCATGACACCAAGGTCTGTGCCTGCACCTGACTGCTGTGAGAAATCCATGATGTGCAGAATTAAAACAAATTAATACATGTTACATGTTCATCTGGGTAGGTAGTGAGAAGAATTCCAGCACAGGAACCTTAATCCCTTCACCATTCTGGTTTCATACCAGGAATATCTACAAAACCATTAGTTTTGGTTACCCACTCAGGTTATGATGACAGCATTAAAATTGTGCTTCCATACATTAAGAACAATAGATTGACTTTGATGCCAAAATTATGTAGTAATTAGGAGCATGGATGAAATTACATTGTGTGATGTTTAGCAGTCATTTAATGTTTAAGACCAGAATAGTCTGACTGCAGTTATTTAGGTACTTCATACAAAAACACAGACTGTAACCCCCCCCCACCCCCAAAATGTACAAGAAAATACAAGCTCAAATTCTAGCTACCAGTCACAAGTGCATAGAATCTATTTGGTAAACAAGTTATTTTCAATCATGTCTACTGCATCATCTATTTCACCCACAAGGTGGCATCTTTATTCTACGTTTTCTTTCTTTAATAGTCTAGATAGCACCAACCTATCTTTTATAAAAAAATACTGTAACCTCAAATGAAAAGTAGAGGCCACTGTACAAAGACGTGTTAGAATTTATATTCAGAAATCATCAATATTTCTTTCCTTAAGATCAAACGTTTACTGATTTTACCACTGAGATAGGAATCAATTTGCAAGCCATGGCATCCAGTTCAACATTTTCCCAATTCAATTTATCTACTAAATATAAAAGACAAATTGCTTTAGACATGATTGCAGAAAATCTCTTGGTATTCTGTGCACTACTGATATTTTGTATTCTCAGTATTAGAGCTTTAAAAATGAAAACTCTATAAACATGTATAAAGCTAGCTTAACCTGTAAAGTTAGCCTTACACCTGTCTGATACTGATCCAAACAGTTCAGTCATTCAATACTTACATCCAAATATCTGAATTTTAGAAGCTATATAAAGTTTATCATTAAAAAATAAAATCAAACATCAGGTAAATATGTGCCTGCCAAAAAAGTATTCTACACTGTGTGAAGTTACATGGTAGTACCTATATTATACAGATGAACAGCTATATCATGATACATTTAAAATAAATTATAAAATTACAAGTAATTACACATTTTACTGTGTATGGAAAAAATGCATTGAAGGTAGCACTAATTAATAATTAATTGTAAATTACAGAAAGATTTCTTAGATGACATTAAAGCAGATTTTAATGCAAGATCACAAATAAAGTAATTATATTGAGAAGAGGAAAAAGCTAAGCAATGAAACCTGCTTTTCTCTCTAGCAGTTGTTTTAGCCCTGCTGTCTTGTTTTCATCACTGTTCTTATAGGTTTGGTTTTCTGCCATAATCAAATGTACGTATTCCTTAATTCCATATTTTGTTATCATGTTCTGGGATGGTACCAGTTTTCTTTCACATTAAATAAAAAATTCTGCAGGAACACACATTGTTGCATGCACACAAACATATGCTAAGCTAACTATCTGAAAATAAATCCAAATATCAAATAGAATTTCAAAGATTGACTCTCAAATATAGGAAGGGGGAAAAAGGGTACAGAAAACCACTCCTAGGATCTTCCCAAATATATCACATTCATGCATTTTACTTAGATCTCTTGAAAATGAAAACTCAGTGGTACTAAATTAAATGTCATTCATTTTTATACTGCCATCGATGTGCAATTTGAACAGCCATAAAACCCAGAAATTTATCAAAATATAAGAATACAAACAGGGGAATGTGACTTATATGCGCTGTTATAAGATCGTATTTACTGAATAGAAATGTCAAGAGTAGAAGTTAATTCTTGCAGTTACTTTACTTCGCCCATCCAATGCAACTTTCTATATTCCTTCTTAAAGATTGCCTACCATTAAATTTAGTGCACTTGTTCCAAACTTCTTCAGTCTGAAGACCCCTAAAAGTACCGTCGTTTCAGTACCCACACAAAACATTTCAGAAATTTTGCACAGACTGCTGTAAAATTAATATGAAACTATTTCCATAGTTTAAAAACTAGGGTAAGTGAAATAAGATATGCAAGAAAAAAATCCCCCTCTTACGTAAAGAATTATCTTAGGCATTGCTCTGTGGCAATGAAATAGCCTCCAATGAACTATATGTACCTGTTGTGATGGTATTAAAGATTTGTTCTAATGTAATTTCCTACCTTCTCTCTAAACTTATGGCTTGGCCACCAGCAGGTGAAAAGATAAATCACCTAGATAAAGAGAAAAGATAAATTAAACCTATGACTTTTCTACAACTACATGCTAAAAATATGATAAATTAGACAAGTTCAAATCAATACTTTTCAGCCTTGGATAAAGATGCCAATGAAATCACATGTTGCTTCAATGAAAGGCATCAAACAAACAAGCAAACAAATGAAAAGTCTATTTAATTGGTCTTTTGGTAGCAGGTACAGGAGTATGAAAGAATCAGCAGCTACCCCGTAACCTCATAAATAATACCTTTAGTCTGAATTCATAATCTATTACTTAATGAAAATTTATTAGTAAAAAAAACCCACCTTAATTCCTTTCAAATTTGTGAGCCGGACTACTATGAGAATAGTAAAAAGGAGATTTTTGTTATATGTGTAATTGTCCTATGTGTCCAGCCATGGTCAACAGAGACAGTGTTATTTGAAAGAATGACCTCTATTGTATTATTTTTTCAACTACACATGAGTTAAAGTCCCAAAATATTTTGAAGTGGAATTGAAAACCTTCTACTACTATAAAAGAAGGTGAGGCTTACTGTGTGGTATATCTAGCTAGCATGGATTAAGGAAAGATAAGCCATGAAGACCCTTCAAAACTGATAGAAAAATCTTTTTGGCGCAGAGATAAATGAAGAAGTGTAGCAAGGAGTCAATCACCACAATGACGTGGTTTGAAAAATAAACTACAGAAACATTTCTGACATATGTTAAATAGGAGCTACTTGTAGCAAAATATTTCATATTTTACTGATATCAAATATGGGTAAAGATAATAGTTCTCTCACGCCTTCATTGGAGCTTATGCCTGGGACTGAATCATCAAGTTCAGTTCCACGCAACTGTGGGCAACCACACAAAGGGGGGTTACTTCAAAAAAACCCTCAAAACAACCTAATCCACATGCTAAAATATACCCTATAGGTCAGACAACATTTTTCAAATCCCATGACAAACAGAGCATCTGTTGTAGAAATTAACTAAATTAACCAAAACTATCAACTACAATAGACCACAGGAAAAAGGAAGAAATCAATATCCTGTGCTTCTGCAACAACAAATTATTAAATAAAATCTCCCTTCCTGCCATTCTCTGTTAAGACCTCTACTCCTTTCACGTTTTATATTTAAAATTATAAATAAATAAATTACTATAACCATAGCTGTAAGCTATTTTCAATACCATTTATGCATTTGGCATTTTGCTTGGAGCTTCTGGGAGCAGGCGTCTCCAATCTCAGCAATGGATCCAATTGCTCTTGGAGCTCCCAGATGCTCTTCTGAGTATTAATGCATAACACCATCATTTGTTAGCTATTGCTAATTAGCATCTGTAATGAAAAATGCTAGACACAAAATGCTGCTTCTCCAGATGAAAACATTTCAATGCCTAGAGAAATTAAGCGGTGTACAAAATTTACAATTTTTCCTCCCAACTGTATGAAGTATTAGACTATCAGGAATGTCTTTCCCACATCAAAGAAAAATTTTCTATACTGATTTCCTTCTTATGAAATTGAAAACACAGAAGAATTACATACAAGTTGCCATTTCTTTTCTGTTAAAGTATTGGAAAAAAGTACTTCTTTCTGTCAATTATTTCTCACATAAATACAAGGAATGATGATCACAAGATTTTGCACACCTGCTGGACCAAATATAACATAGAAAGAAACAGAAATTTTACAGCGTATGTGAAAGTGCATTCTGACTATTTTCAAGGTAACAATTATCACATGCCATAAAAATTCTAGAATGATAAAATATGTTTCTATTTTTCTCTCCCCCTCAATACTCTTAAAAACCATATAAAACATACACCTTACTTGGAATTATACTCAAGCTAAAACATTGCATGATATTAAACCATTTTCATAAAACAGTAATATAAGAAAGCCTGTTTCCTGAAGGCCAATGGCATTTTCTATAGGTAATAGACCAGATATTTTGGCTAACGACATATAATAGTCCATATATGTTAAATGTTTAAGAAGCTTAAATAACAAAAATGACTGTTTTATAAACTGTGTATTCAGGACATTTGCCAATTAAATATGTACACATTGAGGGGAGAAAAGCAAAATGATTCTAGTAAGTTGCTAATTTCAGTAACACTGCTCTATACAACTAGCAGATTCTATTCTCTCTTAGACTTGGGGATGAAGCACGATTAATGCAGTTTTTAGAAAAAGTAATTTCTTAGTTTTAATAGTGTTTGTTACCTCCCTGTTTGCATAACTGCGGTGTATTTTTGACAAACAGAAAAGAAAACATCCCAGTGCTGAGGTCCAGATAAGCTTTTCTTTTATTACCAGAGTTATTGATAGCTTAGTCATGTTTTCACTTCACTTAGGCGACCTTTTGTGTTCAAGGGTTTCTCTGGACATACTCAGGAATCCAAAGTATTTACCAAAATGGTTATTATTTAGAAGAAGTGTTAACTCTGGAAGAGTAGCAAACCATACTTTCTTTCAAAAACAGGTATACACATGTAGAGTTTAAATTTCATACAATGTGATGCTCCAATAAAGCATATCTACAAAATACAGAACTGTTTTTCAATTGCTAGGCCATTAGGGAGCTAAGACCCACTCTTTCAACCCTTAGTTAAAATTTTAGTTGATACAAGAACCAAGATAATGCAGGCATGCATATTAATTATCACACTATGTTACTACAGTTTTATAAGAGTGATAATTTATGAAATATATAATTTAGATATTTTCTTTTCAGCATTAAGTATCTCTGTACCTGACCAGTACCAGGCACTGTTTCAACAATCTTTTTGTGATTTAAGAAGTTAAAAACATTTCTTATATGGCAACCTAAGGGACATTAAATTAAGAATTGTATGCAATACAAAAGCTGAAGCATTAATGATAATGTTATATATATATATATAAAAGAATAAAATTAACAAATTATATCATAAAGAATATTCAAATGTCTTTAAGAAGAAAAAGCTTAATCTGATGAAAGCTTGGCTTGTCTTCCTTTGGATAATGAATTATCATTCAAAACCCACAAACAACTAACAGGGCACATAAAAATTTTCTGAAAGCTTAAAGAATATATTACACCTTCAGACACGCAAACACAATTTTCCCATTTGTGCTTGCAGCTTGTCAGAAAATATGAAACAACAAATATTAAAAACATTTAGAATTCCCACTAGTTTTGGTCATAATTTTCCACTTTCAAATAACTGAAGATAATTAATGTGTTCTGACTTCACCAAACTTTTTTTTTTTGTTATCATTACATGAACTGAAATTGTTCTCCAGTGCAAACAGGACTAACCCCACTACCATTACTGGCATCACAATCATTCATGACTGAATGATTCAGTCATTTGGGCTGACCAAATTTCAGGCACTCTCCCACAGAATTCTAAGATGATCTCCTCCAAAATTTGCATGAGCACATTTCAAATCCAACATGTCAGAAATTGTAGAAAATTTACAAATAATGAAAATCTCTTGGGTTTGAGAGATCATGTTTTCTCAGGCATTCCAAGAAAGGTAACTAATACCTTGTGATGTTTTAGCAAAAAGAAAAGGCCTAGACAAAAAAGTGCTGGACCTGATCCTTCTCCTGGCTCAAATGACTGAGATTTATTTACCTGAACATGCATTAAAATACAAAATTATAGAACACCAAAATCCTAAAATTACCAACATTTTGTCAGCTTCTCCTCCAGCTCAGTCTATGTTTAGCATAATAAAACCTCAGTTTGGATCGGCATGTTAGCACACTAACATTTTTTAATGTTAATAAAGACAAAAATGCCAATGGAGATTTTTCACAACACAAAAGTATCCTTGTCCAGCACTCCAGGTTAATCCACAGTGTACTTGGTACAGCAGATTGGAATTACACTAATACAAGACTCAATGTTAGGAATCTCAGGAACCTGTAATCTCAGCAGACTTCTCATTCATCTACTGATCCAAAAGAAGTTTGGAATTTACTTTAAAGGAAGAAATGTTATTACCTGCATTCAGGTAAACAATACTCCACTGTGCAGCCAGCAGTATTTATAGAAAACCATGAAAACCAAGAAAAAGTGACATAACCCAAATTATTTGGAAGCAATCAGAATTTCCCAATTTTATACACAACTGGGTACTCTACTGCAAAAAGGAAAAGTATTTACAGGAGTTAACTGAGGCCTGTCCTTTAAAAGGTATTTGCATAAGAAATGGTAGTAGGGAAGACTCTACACTCCATCTCACTCCTGCCTTGACTGTCTTATTCTACTAAGTATATCAGCAAAGCTGCCATGAGCAGATGCTAACACTGTAATTAATTCTCAGGACCCTTTTGTTTTACTATAGGGAAAGAACGTGAAATAGTTGGGTGAACTAAATTGAGCATCAAGTACATTCAGTTTGCTGATGGCAAATTGATTTTTTCACAGCAGGCTATCAGTACAATTTCAGACAAGCATTTCATTAAGATACAGCATACATAACTCCTTATAACTTTGAACTACCTTCAACACAACATCAGGATCAAAGAGCAATCAAGCCTTTAAGAACATTCTTAAAATAAAAAATGTGCACTTGACACCATGTTCTCCAGACAGAGTAAGGTAAACATCAAACTCAAAAAGCTTGCTTGTACAACATTTAAGTTTACTAACAACATGACTGGCATGAACCGTTGCACGGCAATTTCTATATGAATTTCCCAGCATTTTCTTTAAAACATTTTAAACACCTGGTGTCAGTTCTAGATGAAAACCCACACAATCCTCCTTACTTTTTTCCAAATGGCTTGTCACAGCAGTGCTCCTCTGACAATTAGGCACAGAGGACGGCTGGCATGGCAGTAAAGCAGAACATGGAGAAATACTCTCCCTAATGTCTGACAGGCAGGTAGGTTGTTCCTCTGTGCCCTTCAGGAAGCTTGTCATGCAGTTGGAAGCAGTAATACAAATTTCTGGAAGCAGAAATACCAAAAAAAGAGAACTCTGAGCAATGTTACTCACACAGTCCAAACTCTACCGATTTTTTCCAACTCATCTACCTACAACCTATAGCATGACCTGATTCAAAGCAGGAGGCTGGAAGGAATCTGGGCAGGATAAACGAGAAGTGGGATTGAACTGGGGAATGCAGAAAACTGTATTGCCCAAAATTAGTATTGAATTTATTCCTTTTAAGTTGAGGGTCAAATATGTTAATTATTCAGTTAGGTTCTAATTTGGGTTGAGCAGTGACTAAAGCTGTTCCAGTTTAACAAAAATTCAAAGTAGCACACGGCTCATGCTGAATTTCTATTCAAGAAAAAAAAAAAAAACCACAAAGGTTCAAGTCAATGCTTCCTCTAAGTTCAGTTCAATTAGTTGTACTTATACGAAAACCATGGAAAAAATGCTGCCTTGTTTACTGTTTTTCTTCTAACCTTTCAGATAGGGTTACTGGGCCTCTACTTAATGAGAATTCCTAGTTGAAAGCTCAGTCTTTAAGGGCTTTCCAGCTTGCTGCCAGAAATGATGCCGAACTCTGTACAGCAACAGGAACTCCTCATTTATCTTCCCCTTCTATTCACTCCTGTCGCATATTACTAGCCATCTCTCCTTCTGTCCCACCCATCCCACAGAGTCTTACCTCATGTGTGCCAAAACTTGCTTCTCTTGTCCCATCAAGCACCTCATATTCCCTCCTGCATTCCCACTCTGCCTTTCCTTATTATCATCTAGTCCTCAGCTGCATCTTCACAGGCTCCAGAGAGGCTTTTCAGTGATGCTTTTTTTCCAGCTCCTTCCTTAGCTACCTCTGAACCCCTTTTTCCTAGTGCTTCATTCCTATCCATTCTCTTTCTCCTCCTTGATATTCTCCCCTTGCCTCTATCAGAATAGGCCTGAATCTCTGTAAAAGCAATCAAACTCGAGTTCCAGTGAGGGGTATCAGAGGTATTGGTCATCATCTTTATCGTGACAGTCTAAACTTGAACCTGCAAAGATTTAGCAAAGCCCACAGTCTCACACCAAAACTAGTGACAGGTAGTAGACACTGATCATTAAAAATGATCAGCTGGTAAAGAATATACAACCTGTAAAGGCAGAGTCGAATTCAGCTGTGAGATAAATATTTGAAACAGTCTTGTAAGTAAAACATAAGTATTTAGGCCGTGGTCCAAATTAGGACAGAGTGTCAGAACACAACTGAATTTTTGTAATGGCAGGAATTTTTAATTATTTAACAGTTGATAGTCAAAAAAAAAAATAATTAAAAGAGTTTTAGATGGCTTGGTTTGTTCATTTTAACTCAAGACCATTATTCTGTATACTTGAGTGTTTTTGAAAAATGCAAGCTTGATGCACAAAATATGTCATTCCGGGGAAATTCATTATTTTTTCCATGTGAAGCAGTTCAGTGAAATATTTAACTGTATGTGAAAACTTATAGAACAAATGCAACAAATAAATCACAAACAGAGCTTCCCCAGTTCTGTTACACTTGCTTAGGATGATGAAACAAAACACTTATTTAATTGGTTGTTCCTTGTTGCTTTCCATACAGTGCTGCTTTCCCTGTGAGATTTAAAATGATAAGTAACTGGAAATTAGGAAGAGAATTAGTCCATTATTCTGTAGCAATGACACAATGATTAATTATATTAGTTTACTGCCCCTTCTGCTTTAAAACCCTGCAGTCATAAAATGAGTTTTGTTCAATATTCCAGAAGGGATATGAGAATTAAATTTATACAATTTAACAAATTCCTGCAGGAAAGCCATACTCATCTAAGATAGTAGATGGATGAATCCTCTAATTTACAATAATATGCAGATGGCGTACCTCGTACTGAGCAACGCACAAGATAAGGAAGCTTCCCTAATGAATCAGAAAAAAGACTGCAAAGAGACACGGGTGGAAGTAGATGAGGCAAATCTGAGCTTGTGTGTCCTCCTGGAAAGCACTCACAAACTTCTTACTGTCTAATAAATATACTTTTTTTTTTACCAAGTTGTTTTAAAGCCACCTAATATTTTAAACACCTTCAGCATATTCTAAGCCCTACTGAACATGAAATAAATTAATGCCTATGAGGGTCTAGGGGGGGCAGGTGGAGGTTTAAAATCACTGCCATTCCGACACAAATCCCCACATCTTCCATGTCTCTAATGTACTTCAGGAAAAGTGTTTTACCTTCAAGGAACAATGTTTCTGCCGTGTTTTCAACGTTGGAAAACACTCAAATGCAATCCTACCTTCTCACTCTGTGCTTCTTGCATGATGCTATTATACAAATCAAATTCTTTGCTTTTAATTAACTTTTTTTTTTTTTCTCTCTGGAATTATGAATAATATCAGAGTTCTGGAAAAAGAAATACATATCTTAACCACAAAAGAGCTATAGTACCAGAAGCAAGACTGCAACTAACTTTTGTGCCTTAACCCTGACAGGGAGATTGATTACCATTTTTAAAATATCAAAATAAACTGACTACAATGCATCACTTCTGTGTTTATATGAATAATACAAAACAAAACAAAGCTTCTATGTGAAGAATGGAAAAGCTTTATAGGATCAGGGTCTACAGAATTATGAAGTAGATTTGATCAAAGAATTCGAATGTTTGTACTGTAATATAATCAGGACATACCTACATTATTAGGAAAGAGGAAAAAAGTAGCAGTATATTTGAAGGACATATTTATGGCTTGATTTAGTAAATTGGCATTTCACATCACCAATTTCAGCAAAGTAACTGTTAGGTGACCTTTTCTGTAATCTCTGGATAAACTGGATTATTATAGGCAAACAAAGAAAGTTAACAATACACGTTACCTAAGAATACTTTTAATATCAA